AAACCTTGATTACTATTCTTAAAATAAGTTATTGAACAACAACGTAAATGACTTGCCTGTTCACTGGTCGGCCTCTTAAAGGCCACATCTATTTGCGAGGAGTTCAAGCTAACAGTTGTTGGTCATCTCAACATCCTCGGTCTGGCATCAGCATTGGCAGGCGTTACCACAGAAGTATGCTAACAAAACCAGAGCTACATAAAAGATAGACAATATTTTAAAAGATTATTAATAAACATTAACCATGTTCAAGATCTACAATATGCTGAACGTAAGCAAATAAAGAAACCCATTTATGTATCCAATCGGCTTGTTCCTCAATAATTTAATAATTTGATGGCTACTTAATTGATTTGTTCTATAAGAAAATCACAGAGTGCAACAGGCCAATTAAATGAGACAAATGTCTCTATGTTCTCCCCAAAGTTGTTAACTCCTTCGAGAACACTAAAATTGCTCGAGCAAAAGAATAGATTAGATAACAAAAATTTTATAAACAATTTAGCAAAAGGGGTAGAAGACCCCCCTCTTGCGAAGTCCAAGAGATTGTTCCTCATCTGCTGGGCATCCACGCCACAAGACGGACGTTTGCTCCACTTTGGCACTGCACCTCTGTTTGGCATGCCAATTAGCAGGGCAACTTCATCGGGCAACTTCTGCAACTCCTTCTCTCCAATCTTGAAAACCATTTTATCTTGCTGCCAACATTGCAAGATCTGTAGTGTCAAAACATTCTCTTGCGGATATGGAGGGAGGTCGAAAAACTGTACAACATTCATTGCTCTTAGCTCGTCTCTAATATCCTCAGATATTGAATACCTCACTTTATCCAGAGCATCTCTGACCACAGATGGTCGGCATCTACAGCTCATTGAACGTGGGTTAACAAACCTATAAAAAATAAGACAATTCAACAAATATCAGATGTTTTACCGTTGTGGTTGTATTATTGTGTTATTATGATATTATTGTGGTAATATTTCGATGGTATTATTCTTGTAGTACTACGGTACTTTTAAGGTAATATTGTGGTTATATCTCGGCGATATTATTAACGTAATGAGGTTTTCGGTGTGGTTGTATTATTGTGTTATTATGATATTATTGTCTTAATATTTCGATGGTATTATTCTTGTAATACTATGGTAAGTTTATGGTAATATTAAGGTTTTATTTGGCTTAGTGGCATTATTAGGGTTTTATTTGACTTAGTGGCATTATTAGGGTTTTATTTGACTTTATTATTAGCATTTTTAAAGGAACTGCATTTTATCACCGCAATAATCAGTATTAACTGGAAGAACCATAGTTTTAGAACATGAAAAAACAACCGAGAAATCCTAATAAACCCTATCCTAAATAAATAACCGCATTTTATTACGGTATTGTTTAGAATTGCATTTCAAATAAAAAATATATTTAGAAGAAGAAAAAACAACCAAAAAAACAAAATATACCTTGCGGAACCCTCTTCAGCAACCTTCTTCTTACGATCACTGTTTTTTTCTTCGACTGTATTCTTGAAGGCTCATCTTCGGTTTCCATTGGCAATGGCTCCTCGACTTCGACTGTCGTCGGGTTCTCTTCGATTTCCATCTCAGAAGGCTCGGCTTCCATCTTGATCAACTGTACTCTAGCGGTGAACTGAGGAATGTACTTCGACCGGCGAACGAACGAAGACTCGAAACCCTAAACAAATGACAAATGGAAAAAGTGGTAGTGCGTCTATCGGTTTTGCTCCGGAGTTCTTTTTCGATAGACGTTTCGTATTCTGTTCTTTTAATTAATTAGGTAACTATTGGGCGGGAGTACAGCCGGGTCCCACGTGATATAAAATTAATAAAATTTCAAAGAACCCTCAGATGTTACCATAATACAACAATACTGATACTCCACTAAATTAAAACATAATAAAACGACATTAAAACCACGGTAACACTGTAGGGCACCAAAAAATTTATGTCGGAAGTAATCACAATAATACCACCACAATAAGACTCGAATAATACCACAATACAACCATAATAATACATCACCGCATTGTTGATAAACAAATAAGTTAATAATACGCTAATCACTCCGCAATAAAACAATATACTACATAAGAAATAATAGATAAATAATACTCGAATAAATCACTAATAATACCACAATATTACAACATGTCGAATAAACATAATGATGCATATAACAATAACCACCGTATAATACATAGTATGCAACGAAGGGAGGGCCAGGGCATTGGCATGTAGTTTTTATTCTTGATTGATAGGTAGTCGAAAAATCATTCCAATCTATGGTCAAAGGTTGATTAAGAGGAAGTTTCAAACTGTTCGCACATCTAAAATTGACCGAGTTATATAATCTTATGATAATGGTGATGATGTGATTTGTATCAAGTAAGTCGTAATGAGTTTGTTAAATTATGGGAACAGAAGAAAATGTAATTGTCAGTTTTGATGTTCTGCACTTCTTAAGTCTCATGTGAATGGTGTTCCAACTGGTTCACCTGATGGAACACCATTCACATCAAACTTGAGAAGTCCAGAACATCAAAACTGACAATTACATTTTCTTCGGTTCTCACAATTTAACAAACCCATTACGACTTACTTGATACAAATCACATCTTCAGCGTTGACATCGGATTATATAACTCAATCAACTTTAGATGTTCGAACCGCCTAAAACTTTCTCTCTATCAATCTTTGATCATTGATGCGACTGATTTTTCTACTGTTTATCGATCAAGATTATATGAATCACAAAATAACTCCATCTCATTGCCTCCGAGAAATCAAGAAACTCTCCATCAACATATCTCCATCTCAACGATCTTGTTCGCCCATCTTCCTCCTTTCCTGCATTGAATGATTTAAGTTATAGAAAAACAAATAAGCCAATAGTAAGATAAGTGCGTCTACTAAAACAACAAAGACAATAACACCATAATAACACGATAATAAACCCATAAAGCCGCAGCAATAAAACTCTCTTAAACGCCG